TTGCATATTCTACCAGACCGAAATGGACCAAAGAAGCATTGTCACGCATCGGATCGCTGTGTCTCATCCGCTCCGAAATAGCACCGCCTAATAAGTGGCCATTGACACAGATTATGCAATTACATCCTGGAGACGACGGCGTGATGCGAGTGGTCACACTCAAAACGGCCTCATCAGAGTTGATTCGTCCGCTAATCAAATTGGTGTTATTGCCAGAAGATGGCAATGCGTTCACCTCGCACAAAAATGCGCCGAAAGAAAAGAGGAGCGGGGAGTAGTCGTTTTGCATGTCCGTAAATTGTTGTGCAATTTTATTTTCATTTTTTTGTATAACTCTCGTGTCTTTTTTGTGTAACTCTCGTTCACGGTTCAAGCTCTTCCACGGATGCGTTCATCGTATTTTGCCGCGTGTCTCCGTTTAAGCGTTCAATTGCGGTAATTTCAATTCGTTTGTCGCGTCGCAAGTATTAGGTGTTGGAATTAATTCGTAGCGTTTTTAAATGAAAGAATGTTATTTATTTCACATGAGCATTAAAAAATACATTAATGAAAGTACTTCCCATCACTTGTAAAACGCTACGAATTAATTCCAACACCTAATACTTAGTACGTGTGCTCCAACGTGTGTTCTGTCGTGCACATGAACTCAAGTTGAGAACTCGGGACAGCAGGTTACAATAAAATTATCAACCGCGTAAATCAAATGTTCGCGTTCTCAAAATTTATAATTAGAATCGCTTTCGATCAAACAAGCCACACCCGAGGTCACTTCTATGCACATGTCGTCACGGAGATGACGAGGCGGGCGGGAATGTTTGAGATCATTAATTCGTAAAAAAGTAATAATTCTTTTGTTTAATTAACATTAATTGTTGTTGGATACGTGTGTATAAAATGAGTCTGTAAACTCATCTCTAGCATGATCTTAATTTTCACTAGAGCTACTAATCTGTCGTTTTTTTTTGTAAATTAATTCATTAACACACACACACACACACAACGGCACACAGACAACGGCAACGGACCTTCGAAGGTTCGAGAACGATTCAATCACACGCGAGCGCAACGCTCCGACGAACACGTCACGCGCGGCCATCAATCCCACGCGCGGATTTTCTGTCGTGCATGACTGTTACGTCGATAGAAAAGAATCCGAGGCGCCAATCAATCTTATACAACAAATGTCACGTAAAAATCATTGTGGCAAATTTTATTGGACTTTATCACGAGAAGATCCCGAGCCACGAAGGCAATATATGCGCCAATCGTCGCCGTTCTCTCTCTCTCTCTTTTAGTGTTCAGAGTCTCGCTATTGTATTGCGTAGAAAACCGCCGTGAAAAAACCGCCACGTAGAACCGCTACAAGGAAGATTTCTTCGAGAATCGCCGAGAAATTGCCGCGATTTCCTATTGCTACTGAGGAAGAATTCGAAAAAGGATTGTGTGTAATACTTTGCGATAATTTTCAATTTGTGCTGAATTTGTTGTTGTAAGAAATAAAGTAAATCTTTTGTTAAACTACAAAGAAACGTAGTTCCTTTCACTTTTGTGCGTTATATCAGTCAGGAATCATCCTCGAATATTTTTTATCACTGTCGGCAAAAATTATATCCCCTCTATTTCGCCTCCTCGTTCAGAACAAGCATCTCACGTTATCATTGTCGTATTTCTTTATCGCTGTCGTCTTCGTACACGCAATCTAACGGTGATTTCTTCTACGTGAAAATCGAGCAATCATCGATCTTGATCCACAACGCGAATCATCAAATCCGTAATGCTTGTATGATGATCGGAAGGTAAATGATCTGTATTGGTCTTTCCGATATCTTATATCCTGGTAATACGCTCGTATTCATGTATCGTGTGAACGGACTTATCATTGCTGTATGCGCTCGTGGTCACGTTGCATTCAATGCGAATAATATTTACGTTGATAATATTTATCGATACGTTTGATTCGTGCCACTATTGCGGTTCCAGCACACGATTCGATGAAAATCCCAACAGCGATCCAATATTGTGAGGTTTGGTGAAATTTATTCAATAAGCATAAACATTTGATCTCACTCTTCATTGTATTGTTATTGGCATGAATAGTCAATGGGTACTGTTCATTCTTTTTGCGAAGCGTTTTCTCTTTTGCAACATCATTAGGATAAAATCGTAGAATTGCATTTAGACTTGTTTATGTCACGTATTTCATACAATTCTTCGGAAATGACAATTTCTTTGTCATCTTTAAAGTAAAACTTATTATTCAATGAATTTACATTAGATATCGTATGGTAGATTTTTCCATCAAACCGACCTCGTAATCGTCATCGCTCAAATCTACGGCCGGAAAGTAGCAGACCGCGAGAACGTTATTCTTACTGGTGAGCGTAAATGTCAGTGACATGTTTAAATGAATACTGAATTGAAAGAGTGCAATGTTAATTCTTAAATTGATCGTCAATCGTCTGTAAAAACTGTAGACACAGTTGTCCATAGTTCGTAACGTTGATAAGGCGTGCGATTATACTCGATACGAGTTTGCGTTCAAATATCGTACCAATTCCTTCGTTGGTCAAAGATTGTCTAAACTATCAAAGCATCAATCTCCCCGCTTCGCGTACGCCAATGAGTACCTGATCCATTATCCAAATTTACGATACTGCTCTCGTTTCGATACACTCTCCAATAGTTGTTAATTTGTGCAGTTGATAGTTACATCCTTCGGCATTTTTGGCAACTGTTTAACGTTTTTTTTTAATTTTTTTTATTTTTTCCTTTGTGACTCCTCGTCTACGCTTGCATGGAGCGAAGTAAACTCCATGTGATTTTCCATGATGCAGTTATGACGTATTCAGTTCTTCTAACTGACGTTGCGCAGCTTTATTATCGTTTATAGCTTTTGCGACTCCTTTTTTATTTTGATGACGGAGGGGAAATGCCTGACGCATACTCCGGGCCTCGGGGGAGCGCCCACTAAAACCCTTCCGAGTGTCCTGAACGGGCCATAGCTGAAGGGCTCCCAGGAACGCGTGCAGCATACTTCTGGTAACCCCTCTGGCCGGTCGGCTGTTGCCGAAGCCTATCCCGCCCGGGGATCGTCGGGGAGACGATCCCGGGCGACGCGTGGCGTTGACTGCCCGAGTCGGGCGCTGGGGGGGACACCACTCCCGCGTCTGCCCCTCCCCCCCCCGGTTGTTGTTGGGGAGCGGGGATCGGTCCCCGCCAGGACCCCAAGGAGCGTCAAACGAGAGTTTGGCGGCCCTCATGCTAGTCTGCCACGCCACGAAACACTTGTTTTCGCGGCGCGGCGCATTCCCCTCGCGTGGGGGGTCGGGTGCCCTGCCTCGGCCCCGCGGTCGTAGGCAGACGGTTCGATAGGGGCAGAACTTTTACCCCGCTCTCGGATCATTCTGGTTCAGCGGCGATGC